TGTTCTATGAATGGAAGCACACTAGAATATTTTTGTTTCAGATTTCTGTGTGCATTTATTTACAGAACTATCTTCCTCTGATGCAGTGTTAGTATGTACAAAAAAAAAAATGTTGAAAACAAAAATGTAAAAAATATTGTTAAATATATGTGATAAATATCACAAAACAAATATTTAAAAGTTACTAAACCCAGGACCCTGCATTCACTATATCTGGTCTCCCACAGTACACAGAACATGGAAATGCAATTATTTTAGTAAATATAACCTGCTAAATACCTTTTCTCATCAGCAGTTAGAACAGTCTTGTGGCTTCTATCAGTGTCCAGCAGAGCACTGGTTAAAGCTTATAGGAGTTTTATTCTGCACTAGGAGGATGCAGAACCCCTGACCTGGACAGTGCTGATTGGCCCTGTGCTGATCACATGCACTCTCCCAAGAAAAAAAAACAAAACTCTCTAGCAATACACACCAAACAGAGCATGTGCAGAGTGACTCCACACAATATGTCTTACCAGGAGATAAAGAGGGGGACACTGGAAGAAGGGGAGGGTCAGAAAAGTCAGGATCAATGCAGAGGTTTAACCACAGTGAGTATAACAAGCATACTTTACTGCACATACAGACTGATTTTACTGCAGTGGGTTTAGTAACACTTTAACGCATCTGGTAAAATAACTACTTTTGAGGTAAATACTGCATTTTGAGTCATCTCAACTCCAAAATTTATGCGGTACTTATCTCTAAGGCCCCTTTCACGCGGGTGTTCCATAACAATTATTTAGAAGTGGTCACAAGGTGGAATTTTGCATGATTTATCACGAGTTTGGAAGTGCGTTTTGTGAAACATATCACATGTTGGGAATAATGCACTATGTGTGAATATCATTTTTTCTTTTGAGGTTTGTTTGAATAAGAAGAATCTTAGGTAGGATAAAATAAATAATTCCTAGATTGTAAGCTCCTAGGATCAGGCCCTCCTAACCCTCTTGTATTGAACTGTATTGTTGATGTATTGTCTCCCGTTACATTGTAAAGTGCTGAGCAAACTGTTGGCGCTATATAAATTCTGTGTAATAATATATAAATAAATAATTGGTATCAATGTGTTTTAGGTAAGAAAAAAAAAAATGCGCAAATTGTTTCTGGGCCCTACTATGGGTACATACAACAAGTAACATACTCATACATGATATCACCACCATCACCAGGAGCAGCAGAATTTATTATGTTATGGTAATTGCAAGAAATATCCAACTACATTAACAGCTTCCCCTCTGCCCTATAGAAGAAATACTGCTACAGGGCTGCACAGGTGTGCAAAGTCACGCCATACAGAGCCATACAAAGCAGTATGCTTACAGTTGAAAGCACACACACACAATGTGACACAGCACACAGTTAACCCTTTGAGTGCCCCAGATGTTAACCCCTTCCTGCCCAGTGTTATTAGTACAGTGTCAGTGCTTTTTATTAGCACTGATCACTGTATTGGTGTCACTGGGGATGTCAATGACACCAAGTCAGTTCCCCCCATTGTCAGAATGTCCGCCGCAGTCCCGCTATAAGTCACTGATCGCTGCCATTACTAGTAAAAATAAAAGAAGATCCCAGTATATATACCGCCATTTGTAAATGCTATAACTTTCACGTAAACCAATTAATTTACATGTATTGGGATTTTTTTTTTAGCAAAGACATGTAGCAGAATACATTTTGGCCTAAATTTATGACAAGATTTGATTTTTAAATTTTTTTTATTGGATATGTTTTATAGCCAAAAGTCAAAAACATTGTTTTTTTTCCTCAAAATCGTCAGTCTTTTTTTTGTATAGCGCAAAAAAATAAATGCACAGGCGATCAAATACCACCGAAAGCTCTATTTGTGGGGAAAAAAAGGACGCAAGTTTCATTTGGGTGCAGCATTGCATGACGGCGCAATTGTCAAGTAACGCAGCGCCGTACCACAAAAATGGCCTGGTCGGGAAGGTGTGTGGGGGGGGGGGGGGGGGGGGGAATACTCGGGAGGGCAAGTGGTTAAGGGAATGTCTTGGGGACCCCCAGGTCTCCAGGACTAGTGTCCACATTGGAGGAGTTCCCCTCTATTTTCTGGGGACAACCCGAAATTTGGGATTTTCTTTTACTTTCACTGATAATGGTGAAAATAGAGATGGAGAATCTCCCCTAACGGGGGCACAGACAGCAATAAACACTGACAGGGGGGTCTAATCTCTCTTCATTCTATCCAAAACTAACACACATTCTTGCCTATACTTTAACTAAATTAAAGAGGAGCTCCACCCAAAAGAGGAAGTTCCACTTCAAGTCCTGCTCCCCTGCCACGTTTGGCATGTCATTTTCTGGAGTGGGTATGTAGTTTGGACAGATACCCGCTCCCACTTGCGCTCAGATTGCCGCAACACATGCGCACTACCTTTGTATGTGTGCCATTCAAAAGGTAATTCATGTCACGTGAGTTGTGGTTCTGAGCCTGGTCCTGCAACACACAGATGGGTCAGCTTAGACACAATCTCTAATATAACCCTCAAATGATCCGATCATCCCAAGGAACAGATCAACGCTCTGTGAAGACGGTTACATTGGATTGTCAGTGCCGGTCCAATACAATGCCATACAATGACAACACACACTAGGGAGCTTTACTAACACTGTAGAGTGCACAATCTGGTCCAGTGCTGTTCATGGCAACCAATCAGCTCCTGACTTCAGCTTGTTCCATTAAGCTTTAGCACCAAACCCTGGAAGCTGATTGGTTCCTATGCAGAGCTGCACCAGATTTTGCACTCTCTCCTCCAGCGTGGATTCTGTTCATCATCATCACAGGTGACAAAGGAATGGATCCCATTCTGACCTTGATCTCCATCTACACCTCCTCCAGGAATGAGCCGTGCCATCATACACATCTCAGTGGTCTCCATCTACACCTCCAGGAATGAGCCGTGCTGGGATCTGTAGCCCCCCCCCCCCTCCCCATACATCTGTACACACAGCACCCCATGTCAGTGATCTCCATCTACACCTCCTCCAGGAATGAGCCGTGCTGGGATCTGTAGTCCCCCCCCCCATACATCTGTACACAGCACCCCATGTCAGTGATCTCCATCTACACCTCCTCCAGGAATGAGCCGTGCTGGGATCTGTAGTCCCCCCCCCCCCCCTCCCCATACATCTGTACACAGCACCCCATGTCAGTGATCTCCATTTACACCTCCTCCAGGAATGAGCCGTGCTGGGATCTGTAGTCCCCCCTATACATCTGTACACAGCACCCCATGTCAGTGATCTCCATCTACACCTCCTCCAGGAATGAGCCGTGCTGGGATCTGTAGTCTCCCCATACATCTGTACACAGCACCCCATGTCAGTGATCTCCAATCTACTACACCTCCTCCAGGAATGAGCCATGCTGGGATCTGTAGTCCCCCCCCCCCCCCATACATCTGTACACAGCACCCCATGTCAGTGATCTCCATCTACACCTCCTCCAGGAATGAGCCGTGCTGGGATCTGTAGCCCCCCCCCCCCTATACATCTGTACACAGCACCCCATGTCAGTGATCTCCATCTACACCTCCTCCAGGAATGAGCCGTGCTGGGATCTGTAGTCCCCCCCCCCCCCCCCCCCCCATACATCTGTACACAGCACCCCATGTCAGTGATCTCCATCTACACCTCCTCCAGGAATGAGCCGTGCTGGGATCTGTAGTCCCCCCCCCCCATACATCTGTACACAGCACCCCATGTCAGTGATCTCCATCTACACCTCCTCCAGGAATGAGCCGTGCTGGGATCTGTAGTGAGCCCCCCCCCCCCATACATCTGTACACAGCACCCCATGTCAGTGATCTCCATCTACACCTCCTCCAGGAATGAGCCGTGCTGGGATCTGTAGTCCCCCCCATACATCTGTACACAGCACCCCATGTCAGTGATCTCCATCTACACCTCCTCCAGGAATGAGCCGTGCTGGGATCTGTAGTCCCCCCCCCCTATACATCTGTACACAGCACCCCATGTCAGTGATCTCCATCTACACCTCCTCCAGGAATGAGCCGTGCTGGGATCTGTAGTCCCCCCCCTATACATCTGTACCCAGCACCCCATGTCAGTGATCTCCATCTACACCTCCTCCTGTGCTGGACCACTTGTACACAGCACCCCCATGTCAGTGATCTCCATCTACACCTCCTCCAGGAATGAGCCGTGCTGGGATCTGTAGTCCCCCCCCCCCCCCATACATCTGTACACAGCACCCCATGTCAGTGATCTCCACTACACCTCCTCCAGGAATGAGCCATGCTGGGATCTGTAGTCCCTCCCCCCCATACATCTGTACACAGCACCCCATGTCAGTGATCTCCATCTACACCTCCTCCAGGAATGAGCCGTGCTGGGATCTGTAGTCCCCCCCCCCCCCATACATCTGTACACAGCACCCCATGTCAGTGATCTCCATCTACACCTCCTCCAGGAATGAGCCGTGCTGGGATCTGTAGTCCCCCCCCCCCCATACATCTGTACACAGCACCCCATGTCAGTGATCTCCATCTACACCTCCTCCAGGAATGAGCCATGCTGGGATCTGTAGTCCCCCTCCCATACATCTGTACACAGCACCCCATGTCAGTGATCTCCATCTACACCTCCTCCAGGAATGAGCCATGCTGGGATCTGTAGTCCCTCCCCCCATACATCTGTACACAGCACCCCATGTCAGCGATCTCCATCTACCCCTCCTCCAGGAATGAGCCATGCTGGGATCTGTAGTCCCTCCCCCATACATCTGTACACAGCACCCCATGTCAGCGATCTCCATCTACCCCTCCTCCAGGAATGATCCGTGCTGGGATCTGTAGTCCCCCCCTACATCTGTACACAGCACCCAATGTCAGTGATCTTCATGTACACAATGTCCTCCCCCTCCCGATCCCCAGCCATGGCGCACACAGAGGTGGTGGCGGTGTACAATCAGAGAGTACCTGTCCAGGGTCTCCACGCTGGGCTGCCTGGAGCCGGGCACTGACGGAGGTGCAGACGGTCGGGGAGGTTTCCTAGCAGCTGATGCTCCGGCGGTGCCGCCCCCTCCTCCTGCACTCTCCAGCCCCGACAGCTTGTCCATAGCGGCCCCTTTCCTCTTCCTTCCCGGATGATCGGGATGCAGCTGAGCCGCTTATCGCACAGGAAGGGCCGGATTGCAGGCCGCTCTTCCTGCCGGCTTCCTGCAGGGTGATGGAGGAGGAGGGAGATCTGACGTGCCCGCTGTCACCCGCACCTCCCGGCATGCACCGCTCCCCCTACAGCACTCTGGGCGGGGACGGGACTACAGCCACTACCCACAATGCAGTGCGGAGAGCCGGGGTCTGCGGGAGGTGGCTGTGCTAGGGGAGGGGGGAGTGTAGGCTGTCCTGTGCACCCAGCAATACGGAGGGCTGAAGGGTTTCCTTCTATCAATGCACTCTCTTCATTCTTCTCTATTCTAGTCTATTCTTTTATTTTCTATTCTATCCGAATTTCAGAAGATGGTTATATTCTTTCTATTGTTTTTTATTTTCTATTCTATTCTAGTCTGTTCAAATTCTATTCGAATTTCACAAGATGGTTATTTTTTTTTTCTATTCTGTTCTATTATTTTGTTTTTTTTTATTCTTTTATTTTTTATTCTATTCAAGTTTATTTTATCTGAACTTCGGAAGACATATTCTTTCTATTTTATTCTATTCTTTTATTTTCTATTCAAATATGAATTTATTCTATACAAATTTCAGAAGCTGATTATATTCTTTCTTTTTAATTTTATTCTGTCTAATTTTTTTCTTTTCTATTCTATTCAAATTTATAAACTTTCTATTTTATTCTTTTCTATTGCTTTTTCTATTCTTTTAATTTTTGTTCTAATCTATTCTATTCTTTTTCTTTTTTTCTATTCTATTTTATTTTAATCTTTTATTTTCTATTCTACTGTGATTTTTTCTCTATTCCAGGTTTTTTCTGACCAGGGTGCCACGGCACCCAGGGGTACTGTGGCAAAATGACACATAGCCCTTTACAGTGATGTTTTTTTTTTTTCAAATTTCAGAAGATGGTTACATTTTTTCTATAGTTTTTTTTTTCTACTCTGTTCTATTCTTTTGTATTTTATTCTTTTATTTTCTATTCAAATTTATTTTATTCTAATTTCGGAAGACATATTCTATTTCATTCTATTATATTGTGTTCTCTATTCTATTCTTTTTTTTTTTTTCTATTCTATTTGAATTTGACATGGTGGTGGCGGAAATACCGGACTGGTCACTTTATATTCGCCTCATAAGACGCACTGACATTTTCCCCCCTTCTTTGAGGGGAAAAAAGTGCGTCTTATGGAGCGAAAAATATGGTATATATATATAATCATGTATTTCTGTATAATCATGTACTTTCTATAGGTCGGTCGGGCATTAATTTTTATGTACATTTGCACCCACTAAAATGCATGATACCACTGTACCAAACATTTTGGTGGGGTTTTTTTAAAAATCATGCCAGCACCTTTTTTTACATGTTTCTCAAGCATAGAGCAGCCTATTAAAAAAAGCAACATGCGGGAACATGCAAAAAAATCACTCACACTTGGACACACCTCCTTGTGTGAACAAGCCCTGACACTGATGTGCCCCAGGATTGTACGCAATTCTAAAGGGTGGCTTGACTGAAAAAAGGTTGAAAAGCACTGCTGTATTCTTTTCTATTCTTTTATCTTCAATTTTTATTCCTTTATTTTATATTCTATTCTTGTTTTTGAATGGATTCAAATTTTGGACAAAATTTCATTTCGTTATTTTGGATTTGTTTAAATTCATTACTATTGGAATTCAGAAATTCAGATACATCCAAATAATGAAAAATGTGTCTGAATTTCAATTTGGAAGGAAACAAACCACACAAGTCAAACACAAACAACAGTTTTGACAATCCAATATAAGCTTAGCTGAAAAATGTTTCTTTTTTTTTAATTAAACTTTTATTTGGTTGTCATACAAAAGGGACATCAATTCAGTTATAAAAATATTTCACATATACATCCATTAACCCCAAACATTTACCCCTGTCCCCCCCCCACATCACTCAACCTGTCCCCCCGTCCACAACCTCCTTCCCGGACTAATTCTTCTCTCATACTTATCTGTCTGTATCAAATTCTTCTCTTGGATTTACCACTGAAACTCTCCTAGTTTCTAAACTTCCCCCTTTAATCAATTCCATATATCTTTCCGAGGTTTTAAATTTCAGCCAACTAAACCATGTAGCTGAAGAATGTTTCTGGTTGTGATTGCTGCTTGTCTATCTCTTTCCTCAACTTCTTGGATTCCCTGCATGCTTTGCAGCTTCTCCTCTGCGGTTTACGTTCCATTTCTATGGACTACATATCCCATGGTACTGTGATTCCTGAACTGACTCCGCCTCCTAAAACTCCTCTTCTCAGTACCTTTGTAATTCAGAAGACAGGCTCTGTGAAATGTTCAACACAGCAGTGCCAGTCACAGAGCTGCTGATCGCGGGTGCAATGCTCTGCAGGATCCATAGCAAAAAAATAATAAATGTACATTTTTTTTACCTGGAAAAAGGTGAACTTATTCTTTGAGATTCTCTTGTTCAGCCCCAAAGGCTGAACGAGAGAAAAACAATCAATTCCCCATCTACACTAAATAACACAGGAATATCACCTGTCTGCTATTGTATTCAGTAGCCTCCACTCCCATAGTCATCAGAATACCTGAACATTGACTGCTGATTGGCTGTGCTCACACATATTTGGCCAACTATTTTTCACCCAGCTCTTTCAGTTTTTAGATCAGTTTGTCAAGGTAAGTGGTGCCTGCAGCTTACACATATATTTGCAAATGTGTGCAAATAAAACCCTGTTTTTAACATGAATTGTTAGGGTCAGTTTGGTTGTTTTGCAGGTTGGCTGGTAAGTGTGCTGGGAAATGTTTGTTTGTGATGTGCGTTGCCCTTCCATGTGCACCTTGCTGCAAAGGCTAGTTATAGATTGGGATGGTTGCCACTTTTTTGTCCATTTGGTTGAATTGGTTATGGGGATGCAATGAATTCAGCTGCCATTGTGCTCAACTTGCTGGGTGTCACATGCATCCCTGTACCTTTAAGGGGGGGTGGGCTCCCTCCAGGCATATCTGCCCTTATCTATCCACTGCTATATGTGCTTCAACTTGGAGAAAATTATAGAAATAGAACCACAGTACACGGAGGAGCCTTGACGTAGGCACTGCAACTTACACATATACTGTATTTGCAAATCAGTGCAAACAAAACTCTTGTTAACGTGAATTGTTAGACAGGGTCAACTTAAGTGTTTTGCAGGCTGGCCGGTAAGTGTGCCGGGAAATCTTTTGTTTCTGGGGTGCCACCAAGACCATCCACAGCTCCAATTTCACCAGATTCTGCAGGAATAAGCCATATTTTGAACCATGTATGGCTAGCCTGAGGCTAAATTCACATCTCCGCAAGTGGCTCCTGACCCACAAAGACATGTGCTGCACTTTAGCTGACTTACAGGGATGCCATTAATTCTAAATGGCACCCCATGCATCAACAGCCGTAGAACAGTTCCATGTGCATTAAACCACATGGTGCCACAGCACCGTGCAATTCGGTGCAGCACAATTTCTAAAAAAAAAAAAAAAACAGGATCAGGGACTTCTTTCCACTCATTTCTTGCTGGTAGGACAGTCTATTGACTCAGGAACTTGGGGACAATGCAGGTGGCATCTTTGATGGTCACAGGAGGCCAGAAAGTTTCCTTGGAGGAGGGAACTGACTTGGTAGATTCTATATGAGTGAAAGCATTGAGCCCTTTCAGTTCCAAAACGAGGTGAATCCCCACTTTCACTTTGGGAACAGTAAAAATGTTTGTGTAGAAACCCTGAAACCTTTCTTTTCCTGGATCAGAAAAAAAATCACTCCTTGGGGAGAGGAGCTGGGCCAGGTCAGTGTGGAGGTTTGCTAACCATTGTAGAGACATTGGTAGATATCAGAATAAAAAGCGATGAGGAGGTGGTAGAGTGCGAAATTCTAGCTCATAGCCCTTGTACACCACATCCCTCACCCATGCATCTGATAGTCTTTGGTCCAGGTGATTGCAAAGACTACTTTTGAAAATGGTGGCATCCTCTCATTGTACATAGACGCTTGTGGTGCTCAAAGCTCCTATCATGCCATCCATTGTATACAATTACGTTGTTAGCTGCAACTGGTCAAGGCAGTCACATGATACAGACAGGACCAATCACAGCCCATCTGTATCATGTGGTCAGCTTTGCCAAATCACAGCTAATCACAACAAAAGACTGAATGAATCAGTTTAATTCAGTAACATTGATTGCAAATATCAATGAAATACAATGGTATTAGCAATTATGTGTTTAAAAAAAAAGTCCTGATCACTTGCCCAGAGTAGTTCAATATTACTATACTATGTAACATTGTATTGCTTTGGTCATAGTGTGCTGAAAAAATAAATAGTAAAAAAAAGAAAATATGTAATAAAAAATATAAGAAATAATAGAAACAATTGAAAAAAAAATACAAACTCAATTATTATTATTATTTTCACCACAAAAATGTAGCAGAATACATTTTGACCTAAACTTATGAAGAAATGTTATTTATTTGCAAAATTTTATAACAGAAACTAAAAAAAAGGTGTGTGTTTTTTTTTTCAAAAGTTTCAGGTGTTTTTTGTTTTATTTTAGACTCAGATTGATTATTATTATTATTATTATTAACGAGTATAGCGCAAAGGGTTTGCTCAGCGCTGTACAATAGGATGATTAAATACCACCAAAAGAAAGCTCTATTTGTGTGAAAAAAAATTATGAAAATTTCATATTGGTAGTGTTGCATGACTGCGCAATTGTCATTCAAAGTGCGACAGCGCTGAAAGCTGGCCTGGTAAGGAAGGGGGTATAAGTGCCCGGTATTGAAGTGGTTAAAAAACAAATCAAAAGCGAGGCAAAAAAGCATATGTGTTTTTACGGTGGATCATTGTGAAAGTGCCCTTAGAGGGATACATGCACTAGGCAGTGTACATGCGCCCAGGCTCTCTAGAAACAAAAAGGTGGA